AAATAAAAAAATTAAAAATTAATATATTTATTTAAAAACTAATAAAATTAATAATTTTAAATAAAAAAATAAAATTCATATCTTTATTTGGACTATTTCTCACAAAGAATATATTAATGGTATCCTCCTTCCAATTTAAGGATAACGATTGTCTATTGATTGTTGACCTACAAACAGGTAAAACGCTTGATCCTTTTTTAATTATTTTTCTATCCAACCATTCTTCGGCAGACTCCACCCATGCCACATCAAATCTCTTAAGCCTTCTTGTCACCGCCGTGCTTTAACAAACTATACTAAGCCACCTTCGTATATGTATCAATTTTTGGATCCGGAAAAATTCCTACTTCCTTCTCCCTCCTGTTGACCAGACCCCATCATTATCTCTTCAATGGCAATATTACTTTCATGCATCGATACAATTCCAATATTAAACTTTGATTTAAAAAAATTTACTTTCTTTGCCACCAAATAATTGTTATTTTTTAAAAATTTTATTTTAAATTAATTATCTTTTTTCTTTTACTTTTAAAATAAACAAAATTTTTCCCTTTAATATATTTTATTATTATTGATTCACTTTAATTAATCATATAATCATAAAAAAATCTTTTTTATTTTTTGTTTATTTTTTTAAAATAATATAAATAATATAAATATTATTCCCAAATTAAATATCTTTAATTAAAAAAAAAAAACTACAATTATTTTTAGGATGAAGGGAGTACCAACTCGGTTTCCAACACCCTGGCAACAAGCTGAAAAATTGAGGGCTTCCCTCACTGTCATCTCAGCAATGTGAAGATCATATTGGCTTATATAAGCCGAAGTTTTCAGGGGAACAAACTCTTCTAGTGTGTAGCCCTTATAAGAGACTTCCTCACTGATCTATGAAATTTATTTTTTTTAAAAATCAAGACAGAGAATAGAGAAGATGAAGTAGGGCAAGCATCTCAACTACCATCTGCTGGGAAAATGTTTTAAATTTTAAAAGGTTAAATATCTTTTTTGGTCCCTCTACTATAGGAAAAAACCCCTTTTTAGTTCTTTACTGAAAAAATCCCTTTTTTAGTCCTTACTGTTCACAAATCCAGCCCCTTTTTGGTCCTTCCGTTAATTTTTGCTAACGTGGCACGTTAACTTGACTGAAACAGCTGATGTGGATATGCCAACATGTAAAAGATGCTTACGTGGACTCCACGTCACCCTCCACGTGAACTCCACTTCCTCTGGCCTTTTTTTTTTTTCTTTTTTTCCTTTTACCCCCCAGGCGAACCCAAGCTACCCAGGAGCCTGGGTTCTTCGTGAACCCGCAAGCTGGGTTCGTCGCAGGCTACCCACGAGCCTGGGTTCGTCGCATGCTTCATATATTACTATATACCATGGAATGCATCCTGAAATTTTAAAAAGAATTGGAACAAAAGACACATATCCAACTCAAAAGAAAATATCTTTCACCTCAACAACTTAATCTCTAACCATAGACATGAAGCATTGCCTAAAATCATCACTAAAATTAGCACCCAATTTGCATAATTCAAAATTTACCTTCAATCCAAGCAAATACCATCAATCAATAACTTGACTAAATGAAATAGAAAGCTCACCTTGGTTCCGAGCTCAGAATCGAAGTCATACTTATCGAGAGCTGTGACGAACCCAGCTCACGGGTTCGCGAGGAACCCAGCTTGTGGGTTCGTGATGAACCCAGGCGCTTGGGTTCATCGCGAACCTGTGAGTTGGGTTCCTCGCGAACCCAGGCTCTTGGGTAGCTTGCGACGAACCCAGCTCGCGGGTTCGCGAAGAACCCAGGCTCTTGGGTTCCTCGCAAACCCAGGCTCCTGGGTTCCTCACGAACCCAAGCTCCTGGGTAGCC